TCCACCACCATGTGTCCCAGTTCCACCACCATGTGTTCCACTTCCACCACCATGTGTTCCACTACCTCCTCCATGTTTACCACTACCTCCATGTCCTCCACCATGTGTTCCACTTCCACCACCATGTCCACCACCATGTCCACCACCATGTGTTCCACTTCCACCACCATGTCCACCACCATGTGTTCCACTTCCACCACCATGCTTACCACTACCACCATGTGCACCGCCATGTCTTCCACTTCCACTGCCTTTACCTTTACTACCTTTACCACCTCTATGTCTACCACCACCCCCATGCTTCCCAGGATATTATTAATCATGTATTGGTAACTACTTTACCATATTCCTCCGTTATACATCAATATGATTCCATGTACTCGTCATGTAAGATGAAACGCTCCTTAATTTATTTTATAGTTTTCATAGTTATATAATTGAATTGTACTTCTATATTTTAAAGGCTTATAATGTGTAAAATTTTAAAAAAATTGTATGAATAATATAAAACAGTATTTTTAAAGTTATATTACTATCATACTTAATGTCTTAATGTAGAAGTTTTATGAAATGTTACCTAATAAATTCTTAAAATAAACAAAAATATTTGTTGAGTTATTTTACCACTTGAACTAATATATCAAAAATAAAATTTTATAATTTTCCTTCATTATTTATCAATGAAAGTATTTATTTCATCTTATAGGTTTCTATTACTCATAAGCAGTGTTCGAAAAGAACGTCCTTCGTGGACACATGTTCATGCTTTTACGTTTATATTTGTTGAATGTCACGCGAGCGCTCGCTTTTTTCAAAGAAATTTAAAGGTGGAAGAAATAAATTAAGGATGAATCAAATTTAAAAACAAAATTTTCTCCCATGGTAAAAAAAAACTATAACTGTTTTATGAGAGGTATTGGTTTAACGGATATATATATAGATCGTTGAACAATATTGATCGGGAATAAAATAAATGATGGTTGAGAATAATCTGGAGACTCCTTGATATCACATTTGTGAATGAATACGTGTGAGATGTTCGGTGACATGGATGTTTGAATGTACGACGATCCATCGCACGTGGTGTTATGTCAAAACGCAATTTACCATCAAGTAGATCAGTTATTTTGATCAGCTCTAAAAAAAAATTACGTTTCTCTGCGCATTTGCACGTTTTTTTGTTAACAATACGCTATTGTTTTTATTATTATTGTTATTTTTTTTATTTTTTTATACCTCTCCCATGTTTTTATTTTTTTAGTATGTTCACCGTTACTTCAGCTCGTTATCATCAGTTAATATATCGGGCCAAACACTCGTTGTTTTTTTCCTTTATTATAGTGACATCCCTTCTCATTACGGTTTTCTTTTTCGAATCTCGAGAAACATTTTAAGGATTTCCGATATTACCATTGTATACTACTATTTAATTGTAACGCGACATCAGACGCAGTATTCGAGAACACAAATTTGTTCGTCGGCAAAAAATATTATCAAATTCAAACGGTACCGTACAGTAGTATCGTCGGCTAAAGGTGGATTGTTGCATTTTTTTGAAAAAAATAAAACGTGACGATTAAAATTCTGAATTAAAAATACATTTTCAACATACTTGAAGGATGTTTTCAAACCTCTAGTGTTCGTTGTCACTTTTTTATCAGTTGATGAACAAAGACGTGTTTTCCGTACGTCAACTATAGTGATGTTTAATCGAATAACACTATACGTGATCCGACACGAATAACGTATACCTACAACACAGATATTGATTGTTTCTATGTGAAATATAAATGATTCAACTCGGTAAGACTATATAACTGAAGGGCAGTTAGAATGCATTGCAATAGAAACTACTTTTAAGAATGATAATTAACACATAATTTGCACAAGGTACACAAATTTTTTCAAAACAACTATTCGGACCGTATACATTATAGGCTCGATTGAACAGATTTTTGATCACAACGTACATGTATCAGCATGCACATGATATGTAAAAAGTTCGATCGAAACATATTTCGACTGATATACTCTGCCAATATTGTAACAACAACGATCTCTATTCGTTTGTAGGGTTATGTGGTTTACCAAATGAGCAGATTATCAGTCTTGTAAAATACTTGAATAAAAGTATTCAAATACATTTTAAGTACTCAAATACTACATGAAATGCATATGTATATTTTAAATGTATATGTAATTAAAAACAAAAATACTGTTTTTAAATAATTTTTTCCTCTTACTTTATGTATAAGGACGTCAAATTTTTATAAAATAATACAAATTGTCCAACATTTTTATTTATAAATCATTATTATTTTCATCTCCGTTGTTCTGATATTTATACTATCGTTTTATATTATCTTGATAATAAATAACAATAGCTACTATGCCACATTTATTAAATAACTAATGACTGTATAATGTATACATTAAGTACATTGTTGTCTAAGTTATAGTATTTGATGGTACATACACCAGACCAAAAAAAAATGCTTCATTCCTATTCGAATTAATTTAAGTATAACTAGATAGCGCTCAAACAAAAAATTAATTCAATTTACTAATGATTAAATTTATTTATAAAGTCATTAAGGTAAAAATGTACAACACATTTAAAAAAAAAGTATTTTTATTTGTACTTGAATACACTAGGAATCCAACAGGCTGAACGATTTTTATAATTTTTGTTTTTTTTTACACGATTAAATTAAAATATTTTGATGAATAATTTTAGGAACAAAATACACAAAAATATTAAATATTTTATCTACACTTTAAAAAAAGTGAAATTTTCACTATGGAAATAATAATAAATCATGTTATACATTTTATAGTTCCAACTAACAACATCAAGTACGAATAACATACAATACAGTAACAATACAATAAATAATAATAATAAATATAATAAATAATAATGAAAATAAATTATAACAATAATTTGAATAACAACGTCTTAGCCTTTTTGCTTTGAAGACGGTCATCGAACGTGCGCCCAATTCACGCGTATAGTCTTAGCACACATAAATGTGCTCCGAACCGATAATGAGACAAAATGTTAACATATAAAGACTTTTTTGGACTAACACATTTTCCAAACCATGTCTTTACTATATTCATTCCAAAACCTCTCAAATCCACGTCCTAATTTACCATCAATCATAGCCCTACACTCTTCAAAACCTCACACTTCCAGACAAGACCACATTTCACAAAACAAACGAACAACTATACATAACAGCTCAATAATTTTACTAACCTCGTAATTCGACTTCTGAATCTTCAGCTACTGTACGGCTCAAAATATAAATTAAGTTTCTACTATAGGTAGTTGGTTACCGTTTTTTTCCTCGGCAGGCGACATCGACTAACAATTATCTCAGAGCAAGCCACCAAATATAAAATTACGAATAATATTAATATTAATATAATAATGTTATTTTATTACACACAGTAGATACACAATACGAGTATACATGTACGTACATGTTGAATTTGTTTACAAATATTTTATCGACTACTGAAAATATTACAGATCGAGGTACACGTTGTAGGTACAAATTCATTAGATCATTAGGTACGCTTTTTGAAGTGCACGGATTATATAGTGAAATTTTTATTTGAAAATGCTCAAAAATAAAGTTAATAAATTGAAAAAAAAACGTATTTTATGATAATTTTTTTTTTTTTTTTTTATTTTGTTTCATCTTAAATAATTGTAACTGGCCACATTAAATATCTTCGTGAATTGGGCATCACTGGTATACTTTCACAAGTGATTCTATCCTCTTCAGAATCTCGTACCTCCACAGATAAGATCACAATTGACCAAACATGTGAAAAGCTACCGTACGACTCCAAATAACCAACGAGTTACTCCTTTTGTAAAGTGGTTTCCGACGATTGTAGCTCTCTTGTATCACAAACCTTGCCATTCAAATATTGAATTACCAGTTACCTCACATAATATAAATTGCCATAGTTTTTGATTAATTTTCACGTTGATAATATCGTGTATACCTCTTACCCAGCCCCAACGAATGAACCTCGCACTTCCAATATAACCAGAATTGTCGCGACTAACGAACACAATTTCGCAAAACAAAATAATAGCTACGGTGGTAATCGACAAGTTGACGGTTGCTCTGTAACATCGTATTTATATTATATAACCTCGCGATTCGACTGCCCAATCTTCAGCTACCTTACGGCTCCAAATATGAATTGAGTTTCACCTTTAGACATTTGGTTACCAACGAATGTAGCTCTGTAGTATCTTGAAACTCCTAAAGGTCGAGAACATCGAATTATAACCCATCACTCGAGACAGTGGCGTAAATTGGATCCAATTTTTGGTAGTGCAGAGGCATATTTTCAACTTATAATTTTCAACACACCAATCTTCTAATTTCCTAAATAAAATTCTTCCCAATAAACTATATATTTTCCCATATATTTCTTTAAATAACAAATAAATTTTGAACTATTTTAGCATTTAAACTTTTATTATTATAATATTAATAAAAAAAAAAATCAAATTTTGTTTTTAGTATGCTGGTTTTCTTGGCTCTTGAAAATAATATTATAGGTATACAATTTTCAATGATTTTCTGGTGGTGCAAAACATGTTTGCACCACCACATTTTAGATTTAGTTTACGCCACTGACTTGAGATGTATAAGGTCAAAGAGTTCGTACTCTTGCCACGTCATGAACACCATGTGTAGCTCTACCCCTCCTCTCTACGCCAAAAAAAAAAAAAATCTTCAAACTTTAGGATGCAACAACTGTATCTCTCTAGAACTCCTACCTCGTAAACTCTCTACCAGGGATTTCCATCTATCAAAAAAGTCATTATAAGTATTAAATTCTCGTCTCACGCGTTAGCCCACTGATTTTCAGTGTTGCGGTCAAATACTCGATCTGCCGAATTTTGCCTTTGTTTTTAATATTATTATTTAACTTAACTGCCCCTGTTGGGTTTGCATTTTTTATTGAGTATTCGGTAGATTGAAATTGTAACCACATGGCATCATTGTTGTGAAAATCCTAGGCGGTCACACATCCAGCAATTAATAATTGGGCGCAACTTAACTAAAACGTTGGAAAACTACTGTGGCTGTTATTTACGCCACACCAAGCTCATTATTTTATTCTACTCGTAAATCTGTTTTATTGCAAATATATTTTTCCTTCTGAGTTATTGATAAGTTGTACAGAACATTTTTTTTATCGACTATCAATGAATTAAACGTTTAGCGCCAAGATTAAAATATGTTTTCTTAGTTAAACCATTTGGTACTTTGACGCACAAACGAGTGAACCTAGTATGAATAATACGCTTTAACCGGACTTGGACGCAGTATTCATAAATGGCTGAACATCAATCAATCAACGAACAAAAAGAAAATCTAAATATAATTCGATCTGATACGCGTGGAAAATTTTCGATATCATTCGATTAGAAGAGAAAAAAAACGGATTTTTTTTTTTTTTTTAAAAAAGTATCACAATTTATCTTCTAGTCTCGGCGTACAACACACAGCGGTTTCAGAACATAATCAAAACGGAGTTTTTTCAAATCAAAGTTTTTTATTCGTTTGGAAGTACTGGGCCGGCGACATGCCGGGCGGCAAGGCGTACACTTTGGGCAACTCCGCCGGCTGGTAACAGGTGTACGGCGAACGTTTGCCGTCGACGTTAGAGAACGGCCTCTGCGAGAATTTCGACGGGTGCGTGGTGAAATATATGTTGGGCGCTTGGGGCGGGGGCAGGACGATCGGTGCCGGGGCCGGGTCGGCGTTGGCGCGGTCGTCGATCGTTATCGGCCCGGGTCGGCCGTACGGCATGATCGCCGGAGGCGGCGGCGGGTACGGCTGCGGGATGGAGATGACGATGGACGGCGGCGGTCCGGCCGGCACGACGATCGGTGGCGGTCTGCTGGGCCGCTTCGGCAGGCTGACGTACATGGGACCGGGGGCCGGTCCGGGGACGATGACCTGGGCCGGCGGGGGCGGTAGCGGGGGCATGTTGGCGAAGGCCGTGGTGGGCGGCGACCCGGGTGGTGGCAGTAGACCGGACGCGGAGAACGTTCTCAGCAGCGGGAACAGCGTCGCGGGCGGCATGGTGGAGATCGACGATGGGGCGGCCGACGACGCGGCGGCGAGCAGCACGAGCACCGCGACCGGCGACAGCGCGTCCAGGGCGGGCGGCGACGACGCGATCGCCTTCAACAGGGCCTGGAGCGTGGCGGGCGGCACGCCGTCGAACAGCTGCGGCGTCGCGGACAACGCGTTCACGACAGACACCAGCGCCGGGGGCGGCAGCGCAGCCAGGGTGGACGGCGACGACGAGCGCAGGGCGGCCAGCAGCGCGGAACCGCCCGGATCGGCGCCCTCCGCCCGGGTACAGGGCACCTCGGCAGCGACTGCATCAGAACCCTAGAACCAGCGGCAAATCGAATGAGCACACGAGACACACGTCAACAACGAACGGGGGAACCGAGCGTGCGCAGTACCTCGGGTTTCAGGCAGTACAACATCAAGCAGGAAACCGCGGTCAGCCACTTCATCCCAAGACTGGACTGGATAACGCGTTTAATCTTAATGTGCCCGTGACAGTATTATCGCCTCCATATATATACCATCGCCGACAGAACTCGGTCGACCCAACGCGGCCGATAAGCGATAAACGGATTGCCGCGGGTCCGTCGTACGTGTCACAACCGTAAACGAGGCAGATACGATTCGGTACTCGAACATCACTGCGCAGAACAGACGATACGGCCGAATCGACTTGTCACAACAACACTCTGTGTGTCCTCCCGTCAAAAGCAACAATGTTTACGTTAGATTAAAACCGTTTACGAACCGTTTACGAATTTCCAACGTTCTGGCCCATTGATTCGGTTTGATTTTGAATCGATTGGATATCAGACGTGCACTTGACGAAACAAAACAAAACATGAAACGAACTTAAATACGAAACGTTTTATTTTGAAACAATTTGCTAGTGATGGACGGCGAATAATCGTCGTACGTTGCATTATTGCGGTTTCAAGGATGGTTATAATCGGTGTTGATATTTATTTGTCATTGTGAATACGGTTACTCTTCATAAATTAACGATAAAAATCGAAATATAAATAATAATATGTTAATTATAAATACATAACAATGAATCGAACATTTTTTTTTTTTTTTTTCAACGATAGTTAAACTATAATATCGTGTTTTGCATTTTACATAATGAAATATAACTTTTGTAACCTATAAGTTCAAATTTTCTGGCTAAATTATTTTATTCTGCAACGAATGTCTCAACTCGAATAAATATATAATTTACAGATCGTAATTTAAAATATCACTCGGTTAGGCTTAGAACTTTTATTTTAAAAAATATTCGTTTAATGAACATTTATCATAGAAATAAAATGGTAAATGTAGTTAATAATTTAAATTGGTCTAACTGTTTTTATGTGATTGAGTTCAGTATGTTTTTTTTTTTCGATTATTAATTAATAATTATGCATTGTACCATTACGTACAGGTATATAATCCATTCTTAAAATACTATTTAAAGTTAAATTTCAATACAAATAAGACATTCTTCTATAACAATAAAATTGTAGAAATAATGCATCATCCACGAGACATGGACCATGGTTATACTAATAACTTATAACACATAAATATCGATATGGTTATGTGATTTTATCATGGTAATTTTGAATATTTATACTTAGTGTTTGGATTCAATAATTAATTGTTTATTTAGTTAAAGATAATATAACTCAATTCTTTATGTTTTGAATTTAATATAATATTAGTAAATAATGTTAATATTAAAAATATTCATGGTTAAACAACTAAAATATTTTTATTTTTTATAATAATATTTTACTCGAATATGAGAAATACTTTCTTATAAAATATCAATCACGTTCAAAATGAAAAACCCATTATTTTATTACAATTATTGTTAATATATTAAAAATATTGAATATCCACATGTACTTGAACAGTTTAACTTTTAAAAATATTTTTGTTGACCTTCAATAACTTCCTTAAAATAACGTTAAAACACTTATTAGCAGATAAAATATAAACTGTATTTATTTCACAAAATTAAATTACATTTATAAATCATTAGTTCTACATACATCATGTTTTTTTTGTTTTCTGTACATTAATAAATAAAGATATTTTTAGCTAAATATGTTGGTAATGACTCAGTGTAAGTCATATAAACAACTAAATTACGAGATATATAAACGTAACAGTCAGAACTGATATCAGTCCAAGTTTTTATGAATATAATCTGCAAGGCAAAACCTTGCGGAGACTTTATTTTCATCAGTGATATATTTCATACTACATGAAGATCAGCATCTTAAATTAAATCAGCCGGTTAGGTTGGTTAAAAGAACACTGTCAAACAAACCTGGTATACTGTTAACAACACCTGATAAGGCTTCAAATAAACCTGGTACGCCGCTGATCAGACCTGGTAGGCCGTTTAACAGATCTGGTACGCTGCTGATCAGATCTGGTACACCACTGATCAGACCTGGTACGCCACTGATCAGACCTGGTAGGCCGCTTAACAGATCTGGTACGCCGCAGTTCAGACCTGGTATGCCGCTGATTAATCCCGGTCCGCTTTTCACTGGGACAGATGGCACAGAACTTATTGCATTATCAATGTCGACAGATGCGAGTCCTAGTAAATCTTGTGGTGAAAGACAACCATACGTTGCTGGTACACTGTCCGAACTCAGTGACGCCGCCTAGTCGATAAAAAAATAAAATCTTAGTTTATGCAAGTATTACATTTACATGTATCAGCTTTAAATTGTTATTGCTTACCTTTGCCAAACTACCCATTGCTAACACTACTAAGGTTCTTATAATGGCCATTGTATAGTTAAAATTAAACTTCAACGGTTAAAGTGTTCAAGACACACATTCAGTTAGACTTTTATATTAGAGTATTTCATATTTTATTTACCCTAACCTTCTATCTACATTTTGTTTACATTAAAAATTATAGATTGGTATAAATATATATTATCATTATGAACCAACGAACAACAATATACTGATCCAGTATCAATTACAAACAAACGAACATTTTCATTGATAAGTTGAATCGATTATATTTTACATTTTAAATTAAATCATGCTATCACCAATATTTCGCCATTACCAAGTCTTATACTTATTATTAAACTAAAAAATTATGATCAAAAATACTAATTTTTCTTATTCTTCTCAAATCTTAGAAAAAGATAACATTAACTCACTGTTCCGAAAATATATATATTAAACACTATAGACATAAAATAATATAGTTAGAATAGTATTTATTCGAACAAATTATCTCTGTAATGTATATATTTTAATTTTAATTTTATAATTTTATATATTTATACATATTACTATTGAAATCAAGAGTCCATGTAAAATTACAATTTAAATTTTTATAATTAGTTGTATTATTTTTTTTTTAAACCTTTAAAAATAAAACTACGATGAATTAAGTTCAACCATTTTAACATAAAACAAAAATTCGTCTGAGAATCATAATTGTAATGCTGTTAAGAAAAAAATACAAACCATATATTTTACAGAAATAATAACCTATATCATATAGATTATTTAACATATAGGTTATTATCTCCTAACCTAACCATGTACCATATAGGCTATATGGTACATGGTATATTTATATTTTGTATGTACTTTTTGCTACTTTTTGTGTTTTTTGTAATGTTAACTGACAAAATAATCATATTTTTTTGAACAATTTTAATAAACAATTTTACTATACTGTTATTGCTCAAATTTTAAATAAACGGTACGATTATAATGACGTTCCAAGTATCTTAAAGATTCATTTTGTACATTTTAACTAATGTTTATGATTGGTTTAAGAACTTGAATATGGATTTGCGGGTGAAGGGAGAAAGTAGTGTGGCTAGATTTGTTTGTATTAATTTTTATTTTCCAAATTGTAAACCAATTTTGAAGTAAGTTGAGGTAATGTTGGAGTTTGAAACTTGCACTGCGGGGTCAGGATTGGAGGCTGAAATACTAGTATCGTCGGCATAAGTGTTGAAGATAATGAAGTAGGATGTTTAGTATATCTGCAGTGTAAATTAAATAAAAAAGAGGAGAGAGGTCACTGCCTTGTGGTACACCTGCGTTTATACTCAATTGGTTTGAAATTGAATTATTTATATTTATTTGCAAAGAACGGTACTTGAGATAGGATTTGAGAATTAAATAATATGAGTTTGGAAATTTTGTTTTAAGATTGTGGAGAAGTCCATCATGCCATACTTTGTCGAACGCTTAAGCGACGTCAAAGAAGATACCCGAGCAGTATTTTTCTTGTTTGAGGGAGGATGATATGATATCGGTGAGATGGTGTAGAGGGTAAATAGTAGAGAGATTTACTCGGGAGCTAAACGGGGAGTTGGGAATGATTTTGTTTATTTCGGAAATGTTTTGAAGACGTTTTAATAGAAGTTTGTTAAATAGTTTTCCAAGGGTTGGAAGGAGGCTGATTGGACGATATGAAGATGTAGTATTTTTGGGTTTGCCTGGTTTGGGTACTAATATGATTGTTGAAAATTTTTAAATTCCCGTATAAGACACTTTCCCGCTTCAGATGCCCTAGTGAGGTTGTCCCTTAAAGAGCATCTTATGCGAGTTTTACTGTACTGAATTAATACTTTGTTTAAAAATTATTATTTATAATACATACTTGTATTGTGATATCATAAATTGTATAATATATTATCGATAAATTAATTTTGTACGGAGACTGATTCAATTATCTTCACGGAACATGTAAGTAAAATACGTAGGTAATTTTTATTAATTAAACATAAAATTATTATATAAAATCTGATAGAAACATAGATATTAGACCATGACAGATTCAATAAGAAAGTAGGTATGTATAGGTTATATGTCTCTTATCGGTTTGTCCCTAATAAACTATGTTAAATTGCATAAAACGAATACATTCGTTTGGGAATATGCGTATTTGTCCCCATTAAGCAGATGTCCCCTTTATTATGCGATTTCCCCATTAAGACTGACAGTGATCTATAAATTAAAACAGGGGTATGATTTTTTTTTTTTTAATTTCTAATATACGGTATAACATTATTAATTGAAAATTAGAACACTTGTACATGGAAAATAATTAAATTAAATGATTAAAAAATTTAAATGATAGAGCTTTTACAAACTCAAATCTATTAATTTTTTAACACTAAATATTGTGTACTAATACTTGTATAATGTTTTTTTATAGAACCCAATCAGTTATTTATCATTATAGTAAATATTAACTGGTACTCAACTCGGATACGCCTCTTCAAAGATACATTTTATTGGAAAATATCTAAAGTAATTATATTATCTTTATTCAGAACGTAGGTAACTGCATTTTAATAAGATTATAATCTTCCGGTTATAGTATTGAAATTAAAGTGTCTCCAAATAAACATTGGAACGAATTGTAATCAATTGTCATTGGATAACAACTGGTCATGTTTTCAATAACAAAAATAAGTAATTTATCTATTTTATCTCTCAATAAACATCTACTTTACATACTGATTGCAACTTTGTAATCATTTTAAAGAAACGTGGAAGTGTTTGAAAACAAAAAATATTACTAGTATAAAAGCAATACTGTAATGTCTCATTAGTATTATTACTTGTCTCGTCTTCATCTCAGCAAACATGAATACTTTTGGAATCGTTGTAGCCTTAGTGGCAGTCTGTTTGGTCAAGGTAAGCTCAGTCATAAATGTTCAATAAAAAAAATGATAAAAATTTAATTTAAATGAAACATTATTAAATTATTAATATTCTTAAATGAATATATAAACAAACAAATAAATAGTTTGCATATAGAAATAAACAAATAAAAGTATAGCCTGAAGTATTATCATAAATATAAAATACGACTGGTTTCGAATTAATAATTTCTTGCGATTAAATTGTTTTCATATTCAGTCACAATTATATTAACTTTATATATACCGGATGATACATTTTTAATTCGAAACCAATCGTACTTTACAAAATATTATAATAAATCAAGCTAAATTTTTATTTATTTATTTATTTATATAAATAAGCTATTTGTTTTATTTGTTTGTATATTGATAAATATAACAAAATTCACATATTTTCTCTATATCAAGGTCGAATGTTCACCGACCTTCTGTGGACTACCACCCCCCATGTGCTGCCCCTGCATTACCACTACCCGCACCTCTTTTACCTCCACCATTAACACCAGCCGCCCTAAGTCCTGAATTATTACGTTTACTGACTCTTCTTCCATCATTATCTCCCGGTCTAACCAGTGCAGCTCCTGCTCTTTCGCTCCCTGGCCCATTGCCCTTTTCGTTGCCCAAACCAGCACCCGCCCCGACTGTTGCCGCAAGTATTGCCGTCCCTGCTCCACCACCGGTAGTCATAGCTCCACCTCCAGCGCTCGGACCGTTAGTAGTCCAATTACCATCAAAAAACTGCAAACTGCCCCCAGTCGTCGTTCCTGCAGGACCAGCGCCTAATTTGGTTGTCAAAGTCAAACAGAGCCCCCCACCTGCTCCGATCATTCTACCCGCAGCCGAACCCGGTCCAATCATCATAAAAGACGGTGATACGATGAAGAAGCCATCCATAACGTTAGCCCCTGCACCGTGTGCACCCAAAATATTCTTCTCGTTACCATCGCCAGCACCTGTTCCACCAGTATTACTGCCACCCGGACCATTGCCCAAAGTGTTCTTCAACCCCGGATGTTTCCTACAACAACCCGACGTCGTTTTGCAATCTCCGGTCGGCTTACCGGAATTATTTTTAATCCCTCCCACTTGCCCATGTCCACCACCGTTATACCCACCATGTCTTCCGGCCAAACTACCTCCACTTTTGGCTAAAGTCCCTTGCTATTAATTACTCAAATCAACTATATTTTACTGTATACCGTTACTTATCGCATACCAATGTTATTTATTACATAAAAAATAAATGTCCTATGAAAAAAAATTATAAATATAAATCACTCGTTGTTGCTAACTACATATTTTGTTTTCTTTTACTTTCATCACTGGCTTTTCCGACGTGTTTTATACATTACTATATTAATATTACATATTAATATATATTAACATATTACTATAATTACATATCGCCTTACTGCCTCCCTCGAAGAGAAATGCCGTTTTTTTTTTTTAAAACAATTTTGTTATATAATTAACACTGCGATAATCGATGAAAGTTTAAAATATTTGGAAAGTCAGACAATTTGTTCTATTTGTTCTCCCTAACAAACGACCGTCTGATGATACAGGTGACACAATATGTATGGACATTTATTTTCAGAGCCGTCTCAGGCTTTTCAGGGGCTCATGGACACCAGGAAATTAAGGGGCATTTTTAGTAGGCCCATAAAAAAGATAAATAAAAACATCAAAAGTTTATTTAGTATGATGACTTTATAAGTTGTTAAACATTATGTACATTTTACAAGAATTGGAATTAGTATATATTGTTACAACTTTCAACAATGAAACTTAAAGTTTATGTTTATCGTGAAGTAAGCAACGATTTTTTTTTTTTAAGATTTCTGATGAGCAAAATCTTTAATTACATCTTTAAATTCCAATTTTTGAAGATAATTTTCTATGAACATAATAGAAAATTTGTGGGCCGTTCTGATAACATTGGCGTTCCTAATTTGGTTTTTATTATTTTCAGTTGTGAAAATGAGTGTATCTCACTGAAATTGGTAACCATAAGGTAAAGGACAATTCTTGTGGCAACTTTGAAGTTGGGGACAATTTTTGCTAATTTATATGTTTTTATTAAATAATGTTAAGCTGAGATACTTAAGTCCACGGATGAGGGTTTTCAAATATTCTCTTAAATTTTAAGTATATCATTCTGAATTTAACTTCTTATTGTTTATGTCTTCATGATAAATATTTACCAATATTTAATTTTTTTTTTCAAATGAACCGTTTCGATTCCGATCGTTGCTTTAAATTTGTATTTATTGTATCGATTATGGGAAGGAACGTTTCTATATGGAATTTTTTTTTACCATTCAACTGCACAGCCTCAGATTCGTGTGCTGTGAATTATATTCATATTATATTATTATGTATTCTGATTCATTAATATGCCGGTACAAATATTATTAAATAAAAATATTTTTTTTCTAATATTCCATGATTGAAGCCTTTAAGTTTAAATATAGATGAAGGCCTATAGGAAAAATCCCGATTTCCCTGAAGGCCTATCCAACCATGATTATCTATAAATATATAAAATAATTACATTTCAATCTCGTATAGTCTTATTGTAAATAAAATAATTGATTAATATTAATTATTATTCAAAAAAAAACTATTTGTTATTCTGTTTTATGAGTATGATTTAAATGGTCTGTAGAAGAACTAGTTTAAAATTTTTCTATGTCACAAAAGAACTACAAATAAAGATGTCATTTTTTATCAAAATGTTATAATGAAACCATATAAATATGATGTTATACAAATATTTTGAGTTCACACGATATGAGTATTTCAAAATGTCAAAATTAAATGAGAAAAAAAAGAAACTACTATATTATTTAGTATAAAAAAAAAACATTATAAATATAATACTCTTATGTATATAATAGTTATAGGTATACTTTCAAAATGTTTAAATAATTTTTATTAACTTTTGTACCGTTGCAATTAGATTAGCTTAATAACTAGTTATTAATAACAATACACACTTAGTTTGTTGGAAACAATTCTGGTTGGACGGAGAAAATTACATTATCATAGATTATTTATAATACTCTAGATCATTTTGATTATGATTAGTATTTTAATGCAATTATACCGAATCGTTATCCAATACTTGCATATTTCGTCAATGTTAAACATAACCATGACTTACAAATCATATATTAATAATTGCCATTTATGAATATTTTATCAATGATGAACTTTCAAATTTAATTTTTTTACTGAATTATAATAGAAAGTTATACAAAATAAAAATAAAAATATCCCTAGCCCATCATTACCCATTATTAACCAACTATTCATCTGTAAACTTCTAGAAATATTCTTGAACAGGAACTGTTGTTTTTTTTTTTTTCAAGCTTTATCTATAATCCAAAAAAACTCAATTCAAATGTTTATCAACAATAAAATACACACAAATTGCAATTCTTTATCGTTCATAATTTTTGTTAATATTAACGGGAAAAGATAAATTCATCAACAACTAATAAGCTGACAATCCAAAAGGGCCAACAATTAGAAGGCTGACAACCAATGGCCGGTCGTGAAAATATATTTTATATAATTCTAACATTAGAATTCATCTATACCACTGTAAAAATTAACGAAACGATGGACAATACAAAAAATCAATAACTTAAAATTAAGATCATGGTTATTATTAACCGGGGGGGGGGGGGTTAAGGGGTTGTAACCCCCCGAAATTTTCTCCGATATCTAAGTCAAAATTTACAAATTTTACAAGTTTGAAATATGAAGAGCTAGTATTATTGATTATAGAATACGAGTTAATCTATTCTCGTAGTCTATTCTATTATCAATGCTATTATTTAAGTCAAAATATATTAAGGATTTGTATAATTTTGTTAATTGTAAAATGTGTTATATTTTTACTTTTCTATCAAAATCTTGCATCATATGATTTAATTTAATTTAAATTTATATATGATTAGATATATTAGGAATATTATGAGTTATTCTTCCAAATATTGTGATCAATTTTATTTATCTAGAGATACCATTATGAAAGATAACCAATCTTTCAGTTGTATCTTCTTTAGGTACACAGTTTCAAGACGTAAATACTCGTAATAATAATACTGTCTTGTAATATTTTTCGCAATGTGTCACATTTTTTTTTTTTTTTACGAACTCAACACAGTAAGAAGCACATACATCGAGAGTTGTTTAGAGTTTAAATGTTAACTTCTGTTATTTTGTCTGTGAAATACGTGTACTAGTTCTAATTTGCTTAACTGTTATCTAACAACTCAATAAATTCATATTTGAAAAAATTCGTTGATGTAAAAGAGATCATGGGGTACTTTATCACTTTTGATGGGCAGCGCTTTCCAAAAATTAATTAAAGACAAAAACAATTTTAATTTGAACAAAAACTATAACATCATCACTTGTTGCATGAAAACAAACTTGATACTCTAATAGAAAATGGCCTAGCTGTAAACTCCAACTGCTGATAAGTTTTTTAGTAAGTAATTATTTTTGAACCCCGTATTTTTATAGAAATCTATATTTCAAGGAACATTTTAATTGATCAAAATAAATATGAAGGCAATCGCTTTATTCTATAATTTATGTTTATGTCTGTCCTTTAGTTATATGATTTTCTTATAATAGGAGTATACAATATAGAATTACGAATATGAAGATATTGAGGTTCTATACAAACTTTATGATTTTTATTTATTTTCTTGAATAGTAGCCTTTAATTATTATTTAAATTAAAAAAAAAAAAAACAATCACCGACTAAACTAACTTAATAATTGAATAAAATAATTGTAGGTAATTTATATAACTTTCGGTATTTTTATTTTTATACCAAACAAAACAGAGTTATAATAATCACATTACAGCATATATCCCTTCGTTTATAATTTTTATCTATATTCAAAAGAAACTTATTATGTTACGATTTCATAATTATCACTTCAATCAAGTATATCAATTACCCATTATTATTTGTTACAACTATGAAGTTATAGAATTAAGTTAGAAAGCTATATGAAAAGCTGTTTTTTTGTAAAAATACATTATATATTACCATTATAATTATCAAATATTTTTTCCTTATTTTATAAACATTTAATTTATTTTTATACTCAAAAAATGTTTAAAGATATAAAATAAATAATTATTTATGATTTTAGTTGATTTAATCATTGATATATTATAATAAAACTTTACTTACGAAATATTAGCTAAATAATGCATTTGATTAAAATTTCATATTATATTTTAAAACTGAACATACTAAATAATTACCTAGTCTTCACATTGTCCTTACTATATTTATGTTTTTTTCTGATCGAAGTAAACTTTATTCCAGGAATAATAACCATTACATAACATAATGTATTATAAAATCTTGATGTTATGTACTTACAATATTTTTATTTTTTTTAATTTAATACGAATTTCGTACTGTATAAACAATAACAAAACAATAGTAAAATGAATCATTAGATATATTAATTTGTCAATAATTCCGTCAACAATATTGAACATAGATATCTCACTGTGTACTTATCGTTTTAGATTTACAAACTTGGAAATTTTAACTATAAGAGCATGTCAAATACCAGAACGTGGGCATTCACCTACGGCAATTAAAAATATTTCATACAGTAAAATGACGCGATTATCAGTGTTGGCGTACGCAGTTTTGTTGCTGTTTGGACTAAAGGTAAGCATTATTCATATCAATATAGTTGGTATAATAATAATAAATTCCTATGATTAAGTCCAGAATTTCGATTAACTATTTTAACTAGATATTGTTACATACTTATATACCGTATTGTTATCACTTTATCGTGTATACGGATTAAATCTTGAAATTGCTACAGTAGATTAAAAATCATAAATTACACTTAAAAAATAGAATATAAAAAATAATATTATTTTTAACTATTAAAATGAATTTAAACAGTTTTTATAAACACATATGTTTTCAATCAAATATTTTAATTGACATTCTTCGCAAGAATTAATTTCTACCAATTTCAATCAAACTCGCAATATGCATAATGTTATTAGTTTTATAAAATGTTTTCATCCATATCAATTTGTCTATAATCATTGTCACTTTTACGCTATCAATTTACTATAAATTACACGACCAACGAGTGTGT